GAGAGGTGTTTAAAAGCCAATTCGGTTAGTTTAGGGAAAGTTCCTTCAGAGCTTCTCCATATATTGAGGGCATCTGCCTTGAGATTTGATAGTGGTGCCGCAATATATAGATCCAATTCAGTATTTTTGCCTATTGACGTGTTGGCCGCTATTATTTTTTCATTATAAAATACTTCTGTCAGTCACTTTTACGCGTTTCACAAGACATTTTTATTGTTTATATATAATTGTTTACACTAACTAAAGAAAGAAAAAAAACCACAGAATACTTTTACTCCTAGCGGAGGAAGAAACCTGTTGAAAACATACGAAAAGCGAAACTGTTTTACATACATAGAGATACATAAAGGTGGCGCTGTCTTTTGATTGACTTATTCATGTTATTGAACTTACTTCACGTTTTTACATCCATCGCACAGATGACTCTGATTACAAAAATCGATTGAAACGAGTAATTTACATAAAAATCGATTTATTAAAAATCGATTTTTATTATAAAAATAATAGACTTCGAAAAATCGATTATAAAAAAATAATCGATTAATATGAAAATCGATTATTTTTTCACATCCCTAGTTTGCGCCGGCTCAGTCAGAGTGTTAATGAAAGGGCTGTTTGTTAGTCGTGCGCATTTAAATAAATAAAACAATAATATTTCGAAATTTTATACATCAATTAATTTATTAAGTCTTTTTGCAATTATTAAATAATTGGATTTAAGTATTTTAATTAAAATAATTAAGAATTAAGTTATTATAAATTTATATGGGTAAATAATAAGTGTTCTGTATAAGCAAAAATGCCTAATAGTTGTACAGTATGCATGAATAATTCTAGAGAATATAAGGATATTTCCTTTTTTTTTGTACTCGAGAGATCAAGTGAAGTAAGTACCTTTTTACGTATTACATACAATAAAACTAGGTAATAACATTGATAGGTAAGTGAAAATGTGTTAGACAGGTACGTCGCCGAGTGATGAAGTCGGTCTCACCTACTTGAAACGTTAGTCTAACCTTGACAGTACCGTAGATGGTAGGATATCCTACGTAATAAGGCTAAATGTGTGACTTTATCCACCCACTTTAGTATAGAGGTAGGTTGCTTCCTTGGGAAGGATATAAGCTACTTTTTGCGAGTCGCGACCCCAGGAGTAAATACCACTGCACTATGGTTGGAATACAATCGCCAGACATTGGTGGGGGTGGTGGGATTGGTGTTGGTGAAAGTGGTGCTGGTGTTGGTGGATAGTGTTGCTGATGGTGTCGGTGGTGGTGGAGGTGGTAGTATCGTAGGTAGTGGTAGCAGGCAGTGGACCAACAGTGGTTCCATCAAGACCACCACCATCACCACCATTACTATAACCACCACCACCACCGCCACTGCCCACGACCACCATCACAGCCCTTACTACCACCACCACCACCACTTATACCAAAATTATTGATTTCGAACAATTAATAGATATGTTGTTACATTAATATAAGGTATAATTAATACACATGTTCTCTTATGCTATACAATATTTTTATTTTTTCCTTAAATTTTAACATGCATTATGTGACAACCCTATCAGAATAGGTATACATTTTCGACGTTGTTAAGAAGCTTCCCCTCTGGTCCTTACTCTTTACTCTGTGGTATAACTTTCTACGTGCGTACATAAGTACACACACACTTTTTTTTAAATACACTAAGCAATGCCTGCAATTTTTTCACTCCTTATTTTTTCTACCTTTAGTAATATCCTTAGTTTGGTTTATCCATTTCTAATCGAAACAATAAAAAATATAACTAATATTTCAGCAAGAAGCATTTACCCTTTTATATGCATAAGGCGTCGTCCTAATTGGGAGCGATCGTACGATGGCGCGATGCGTTTTTCATCTCACGATCAAAGTGGTCGTATGATGACCTAACAGGTGTCCTAATAGATCGCGCGATGTCTATCGTGCGATGCCGTCGCTCGATTGCTGACGTCGCGCTTACGCCACTTTAACGATGGCTCTTTATAGAGATGCACAGTTTTTGCTGTCGGGCAATATTGCTTTAAAAATTGCAAATGACATTGAAAAAAGGAAACGTAGACAACATAAAATACTTTATAGATCCAGGAATCTGCGTGGTGAATTTTTCAACCTTTATTTTGATGTACGAAATAACGAAGAAGACTTTTACGATTATTTGTCTATGTCAAAAGAAACATTTGACTACATCTGCAATGGAATACGTAGCGATTGTAATCATAGAGTGACCAACTTTAAAAAAACCCATTAGTGTGGAAGAAAGATTGGTATTAACAATCAGGTAAGTTTTTTATTATTATTATGTGTGCGTATCCATTTTCCTCCAATTTGTAAGTCCCTGTTGAAAGACCATTCAAATGAAAGAATGCAGGTTGCAGGTTGCAGGTTCGAACCCCGGCACGCACCAATGTCTTTTAGAATTCATGTGCGTATTATAAATTAATTATCACTTGCTAAAAACGGTGAAGGAAAACATCGTGAAGAAACCAGCACACCTGAGAGATTTTTCAACGGTGTGTGAAGCCATGTCAGAGGCCTACGGGCGGTTTAAACTCTGACACCAGGTTGTTCATCAACCATACGATAAGAAGAAGACGGTATAAAAAAAGCAATAATCACACATTTTTTTATTAGAAAAAGAAATTGAGGTGTAAAAAATCTTATATTCAAGAATCATATTCAGCATTAAATGATTCGTAGAATTGTTGTGTGTTTGTCGGTGGTGCCATGGATGGATGTGAGGATGCGTGCACAGGTGAAGGTATGATTGACATTGACATAGTAGATGAAGAGTTTGAAGGGGGTGATGGCATAGCTAGAGAAATTTCGTCTGCTATTGTATTCTGTAGTTTACTTTTTAATCTTAATTTTTGCACTGGATTCATATATTTAAAATATGAAGCTAGCGATTTCAAAAATAGTAAATCTTCATCCTCAACTTCTTTTTCTTTCTCCTTAAACGCTTTAATTTTATCTTCTTCGATTTGGATCATTCGACGCTGATATTCGGTTAAAGATTGGTTTTCTTTACGTTTTCTTTTTTGGGATCCAGTTTGTAATCCACTATCCAAAGCTTCAGTTGACAAAGCACTCGTGCTCTGTGTAATTGTACTGCGCGCACTGGTAGACAGTGGTTCGTCATCAGAAGACACAAAAGCCTCGGATCTATTAGACATTGCAGTAGAATTCTCTTCATCAGGCAACTGAAGATTCTGCTCTGATCTTGAAGTGTATGGTAGGCTGGCATCATTATCATTATTTCCAGTTTCTTGATGAACACTATTACCTTCGGTTGGTCGAGGCATTGAAACATCCTTTAAAAACAACATATGTTGGTAATAGGTCCACTTTCCTGAGTAATATTGTCCATTTGGGCTTCCTGGATCTCCAGAGCGAGGCTTACGAACTTTTTTCAATTCTATTAGAAAGACATCCCTTAAGTGTCGCCACCTAGTTTTAACGTTCTTTTCTGTAATAAATAACAATAAATTTTAATTCAACGTGTTATTATTTACAGGTACTTAACAACAGGAACCCCTTTTCGGAAATTAGGAGTGCCATTTCGCATTTCAAAAACCGCAATAGCAAGTATCGTGATGGAGGTTTGCAGTGCAATTTGGAATAATTTTAACGAAATACATATGAAGTTTCCAAGTATCGAAGATTTTAAGGAAATAGCAAATTCATTTTCAAATAAAAATAAATTTCCACATTGCTGTGGGAATCTGGACGGAAAACACATTCCTGTCGTAAAGCCACAACTCTCTGGAAGCATGTATTTCTACTACAAAAATTATTACTCAATTGTTTTATTAGCGGTCTCCGATTCAGACAACACATTTCGCATCATTGACGTAGGTGCATACAGGAAAGATAGTGATGGAGGCGTTCTCAGCAATTCAAAATTTTTTCAAGAACTTAACAGTGGAAATATTCAATTACCACCCGAGGAACGATTACCGAATAGTGATATTGTGGCACCATATGTATTTTTAGGGGACGAGGCTTTTCCTTTGAAAACGTTCATAATGAGACCTTATCCAAGAACACAAGCAACAGGAAATGCAGATAAATCAAGATTTAATTTCAAATTGTCTACTACAAGGGTCGGTATAGAATGCACCTTTGGAATGGCTGCTAGTAAATTTAGAATTCTTTTAAAAAGCATCGAAACACCTGTGGACAATTCAATTAAAATTGTAAAGGCAGTCTGTCTGTTGCACAATATTATAATACACAGAGATAAGAGAGAACCAGAATTATCTGTAACAAATAATCAATTAAATAACAATTTTGGAAGACTTCCTGGTAATAGAGTTAATAATCGTGCTACAATAACAGCAATTAACTCTTCACCACTTATTTCCTTAATAGAAATAATGCCTAATTAACAGTTAATTTACGTCAATAGGGCTTAGTGCATGGTTGGCATACTAAATTCACCTATGAGGAGCCCCACTATGGGAAAATAAAATTATAAAAAATGTAAAAAATATATTGACGATTCAAACCCTCATATCTTCTAAAGTATACCACTTACGATAATTTACTTGACACATGTTTCATCATTGGCTGTCACAATTTTTTTCCCCGTACTGAGGCTCCTCATGGGTGAAATCGGGTCTAGTTCATAATTTCGAACGTGAAATCACTATGCCAGGCTTCATACAAAAATGTCAGAACCTCTTTAGTAATGAATGGAGGTACGATTTACGATTACAATTCAAATTATATCTAACTATACTAAGTAGATACTTAAGCCAAGGTATGAGTGTGAGTGTGTGTGTGTGTGTGTGTGTGTGTGTGTGTGTGTGTGGTATACATTATACAATTCTGGTTGTGATTAAAACTAAGCTCAAATTACTATCTACTTACTTGTTTTATTTACGTTCCTCGCAATTATATCCCATGCTCTTTCACTTTTCAACCTGTTTTTATAGTCCTCACTCTGTTTATTCCAAACAACAGGATGTAAACGTACTTGGTTAATTAAATCTTCTTCGAATGTCATCTTGTATGTAACAGAATAGCCAAACGCTTTACACGAAGAATGAAAACACAAAATGGCGTCCGGCCGCGAGCGAGCCGAGTACCTAATGTGTGTCACTGGTGTTGGCCCTTGCCCCTTTCGTCCCGCGCCCCTCGCGCGTCGACGCATCGCGTATGTAACCAATTAGGACACTCAAAAGAGATCTGTTGCTTTGATTACATGGTCGCACGATCAAACGCATCGTACGATCGTTATTAAGCATTTCATGTGCTCGCACGATTACTTGCGAGGTTCAAATAGGACACTCTGATGAAATCTGTATGTTTGAACTCATCGCACGACGAGAACGCATCGTGTCATCGTACGATCGCTGTCAATTAGGACGACGCCTTACAAATTAACTTCCTCTCCCCTGCCATGAAATCTCTTGAATATTTAATTTCACCTTATATCTAAGTGGCGCTGCCCTGGTGGCAGAAAAATCGTGGATGCTGTCATTGTCACAAAGTACATTTAGGTATTAGATATAAACTGAAAGTAATCATTACATTTCTGTCAAACTAATTTCATAGGTTTCAAATCGCACAAAAATTAAAAACATAATGGCGGAGAAAATTGTTGTATCGGAATTTGGTTAATGGAGTGTTATTTTTAAATGCTTTAATCGCAAGAAGGCATTTGTACTTTTTCCATCAAAATTGTTGCAATACAAACTGAAGTGATCATCGAAAATTATCGAATATGTGTAATATTTGAACGGATCTTCTATTAGTTTCTTTAATAACGTATATTGTACATGCATAACATTTAATAGTCAATTTTAAGATTAAAAAACCAGATGAAGAAGGCCAATTACCATCACAAGTTTTAACAAATAGAATTAAAACCACAGAACACTAATACCCTTAGGCGGGAAGAATGTCAACTTCAAACAAAGAAAATGGCACCAATAATGCACGCCATCTCTGTCGTGCCCCCTAAAACTTTTTGCGCGGGAATTTTGACACGTGATTTTTTTTTAGTTGTCGTCTTGGTTGTTTCGTTTCAAAAATGGCTTAAGAATGTAAAATACCATATAGATAGATATAGCTTGTAGTTTTTCGTTTCAATGATATATATTGCTAAATTAAAACGAAAACAAAAGCACAAAGTTATTTGTAAATTATGGTACTTTACATTCATAAACCACTTTTGAAACGATTAGCAATCATTTTAATATAAAAAAGGAACTATTTTTCAAATAAAAGTGGTTTTTGAAATACATATTTTTTATTTACATTACATACATTGGTACATAGAAAAACCGTTGGTACATTGATGGACGTAAGTGACGGAGTAATTAACTAATTTTTAACATGGCATATGTAACATGACATTTAAGCAAAATGGAAAGTAAAAGTACATTGGTTTTATATAAAAAAGATTAGACAATCTAATATAAACACTTTTTTCTAACAAGAAAACATTATTTACATTCACATTCTACAAACAAGGCAATAGCTTTGCAATATTATGTCTAAACTCCAATAACCTGATTATATTATAGATGCCACCAATAATATTACATTTGTAGAAATTATTTTCGTTATGTTATTGTTATTGACTGCATTAAAAACTAATAAGTCAACATTTTCATGTCATTAAGTAGCACTACCTGCTGCAAATCCATCCACGAAAAACAAAAAGGATAAAGATATGTTGATAAAAATGAAATATCATCTGAGAAAAATTAACAAGCTTCAAAAAACTGTAAAGCATCTAAAGAATGAAGCATTTCTCAAAGTATTGAGCAAAAATGATTCCGTAAATGAAATATTAAAATGTAAAATATCCCCCTCTTTTTCAAACTGCTCTTCAAAGAAAAACTGATATCCTGCAGAATAAATAAGATGTTACATGGATATATACGTAATTAACTAATTTTTAACTTTATGCATGTAAACAGTTCTGAACAGCTCTTAACTAAATATCGATTTAATAGTTAAGTAGTTATTATTATTTTTCGATAATACAGGTAGATGTCTAAGTGTCACAGCATTTACTTGCTAAATTCTATAAAAAATACAAATGTATGTGTTATCCATATCCCACAGTAAACTTAAAAGTTAGTTGCATAGCAATACGATTGTTTGTAGAGTGACTAATAAACTATCCGACATTAAACGATAAAAAGACTGTAAGGTATGATTCGCACCAGTAAAGTGATAGTTTCGAAAATACTATATTCGAAATCCAAAAGTGGCTCTATATGGCAAATATTTAAAAAAATAACTTAAATTTAAATCCTACCTGCCTCGCGGAAGCAAGGAATATCTGACCCACTCCGACTAAAACTCTCAGATGTTTCATCTTCACCACTTATCGGCAGGACTACGGGTACACTTTTACACACATCCGTAGCCTCATCAGCGCTAGTCACTCCTTGGCAGCCTCTCTCGAGAGAGGACAAATTCTCCCTCTCCTTTTATCTCCTTATATAATGTCACCACTGAAGTGATTATGACTGTACATACAGAAAAAGTAGTTCCATGTAATATCTTATTTATTCTGCAGGATATCAATTTTTCTTTTAAGAGCAGATGCAGAGTACTCTTCTGCAAATTGCCGATTTTTCAAAATACAAAATCTCTTCATACAAATGTGAAATACGCTATTAAATAAGTAATCTATATTCATATCTTTATGTTCTGGACATTTATCGAGAAACGCCCAATTTATTGAGTTTTTGAACAAAACTTTAATTGTCCCTTTTAATTTTTTTTTATATGCTTCTGCCTCTAAAAAATCATAAATCATCGTAGCACTACTTTCAATACAGTTAATGAGGTTTTTAGAGGCGTATTTAAGGGACTTTTTTAGATCACTATATTCTTTAAAGTCAATAAAAGTATGTGATCTCTCTTGTGTCTCAGATACAAAAATTTTTTTACAAATTTCACATTTGTTGAGATTATTTTTTACTATAAACCCACAGACATAGGCACATGCTTGTATTTCGCCACTGCTTTCTTCCAAGCTACATTCAAATGTAGAATTTACACTTTCTTCTAACTCATCGGTTAAAATTGTGGCATAAGCAGTGTGTGTGTCTGTGGGTGGAGACAATAAAGATTTAAAATTTGTCAATATAACTTGATTTTGGTCTTCTTCACAATTTCCTGTCCCAATAAAAGATAAGTTGCTAAGGACAGCCGTTTTAAGACCCGCAACAAACTGCCCAGCAGTGGGATTTGAATTGCAGCCGCAATTGGCCCGAATGCATCCAAAAAGATTTTCTAACGGGTCCTGCTGGAGCCTTCTTGTTTCCAAACTTTTTATTGATTTATGTTTAGAACTGAGATTTCTTCAAATTCGTTCTATTCCATTGATGGACCATATCCAACCTTCTTGGGATGGAGAAGCTCGTTTGCATCCCAAAAACGTCAATTCTTTAAAAAAATTCTTCATTAAAGTGAAATGTGTGAGATGTGGTGTATTATTTGTCATGTTTGTCGAATATGGTTTCCCCCTTCTTAGGTCTGGTGTGCATGCGTTGACACAATCAAACAGCTTGTCCATATTTGCAATAACATTAGCTGTAGTGACAGCCTCTGAAGAGAGTTCCCCTGTAAACAACACATAATTTAAGATCTTACTATTAGGATTAAAGAAACATGATTTAAAGTATGTTACAAGACAACTCAAAAATAATATCACATATCAGTATCACACAATAAACAATAATTTGTACTTGGGAGAGCCTAGTTCCTTTTTAAGTTAATAATTATTTTAATGGGTGGACATATGTTTAAATATTATACTTTAAATTATAAATTTAATTTACCTTGTGAAATTTTAGCATACATTCCTGCAGCAACTGAGTGGCTTAACACTTGTGCAGCTAGCTTCACCTTCATCTTCTGCTTCGTATTTGGATTTAAATGTTCTTGTTTTAAGCAAGGTGCAAACACAAAATTGGGATTGGTGTTATCTGTTTCATAAAACTCCTTTATATGGCTCCATTTAGCAACACCTGTAAAAAAAATTTGTGTAAATATCCAGTAAATTGGAAATATGTATAATATTATGATTGTAATAAAACAAAATATCTTACCAAATCCAATTTGATCATTTGATGTTATATTTGTTGGACATTTAATGTCATATTTTAAAAACATATTTCTAAAGCATTTGAGCAAATGCGGAGTATCAAAAATGGTAACCACTTCTCGATTATTTAGCAGAATATATGGCTGTTCTACAGATGCTCCCAAGATACTTAAAGCTCTCTTATTCACACCATCCATATCACACACCGTAGCTGAAATATTAATTCCAGCATCAAAACAATGTTGCAGGACCTAGAATGATAAAAGGGTAAATTAATATGGTAAAATAGTACTACTACATATATTGACATAATAACAAATAAAAGACCATAATGCTCACCTCCTTAGAATAATAAAAGTAATTGGTTGTTTCAGCTTTTTACGGATTCCGCCAATCATGAACACGAGGGCATGTGTTGCCATTTGTGGTGACCTGACCTGCAGTGCATGGTCTTGTTAACCCTCAATTATGTCCTCCTTTTTGTTGTAAAACAAATTCTTTTTTATTGACATCTCATCAAACATAAGGATATACTCATTGTCTAAGGGAGTCTGTTGCTTTATTGCTTTTTTTCAAAACATTAAAAATTTGGTCATTAATACCAACTTTCATGTGAAACTTGCTTAATAACGCTTTTAATGAACTAGGTGTTGGCAGGCAAATCATCCTTCTTAATAATTTGTAGCACCTAGGTGACCTTTTATACAGTTTTAGTGCTATTACTTTGGAGTCCATGTTCCATCTTCGACCTTATGATTTTTTTTTATAGTTTTGCAATTCTCCTTGCAAAAATAATGCAAAAGAGGGGGATATTTTACATTTTAATATTTCATTTACGGAATCATTTTTGCTCAATACTTTGAGAAATGCTTCATTCTTTAGATGCTTTACAGTTTTTTGAAGCCTGTTAATTTTTCTCAGATGATATTTCATTTTTATCAACATATCTTTATCCTTTTTGTTTTTCGTGGATGGATTTGCAGCAGCAACAGGGTTGATATTCTCAGTTACTTGAGGAATATCACTAGTTATGTCAGGAATGGTTTTATAATTTACATTCTCACACAAGGGTTGTATAAATTTTGACGGACCCGCAACAGGCTCAAATACATTTGAAACAGTTATAGTCTTCTGAATATTTTCAGACAGTGGTTGTTTATTAGTTGATGGACCTGCAATATGTTGAATGACATTCCTTTGTTCCAAATTAAGGTCAGCTAATGTGATCTGAAAATTAGAGATTATCAAATCATTATTTATATCATGTATCCCAGCATTGGTCAACCAATCTCTAAATTTCAAACAGCCTTATAAATTTATAAACATTAAATACAACTTGTTTTTTTTAATGAATGTTGCTTTAACACCATTACCACCACCATCCTATTTTTAAGACACTATTTTAACAATTTCTTTTATTTGTAAATATATTCTGTAAGTAACTAAATTATAATCATGTCATTTAAACAACATTGACAGCTCGCGGAGCAGTGGCTAGCATTGAGTTGCAGCATTAAAGGTCACAGGTTCGAATGCTACACGGAATAAGTATTTGTAAGGGGGTCAATTTAAAATTGGTTGCAGATAAAGTCGTCCCTGAGCAAAAATATTTTCTTCTCGGTGATATTAATTAAATTGTTATAATGTTATTGAATTTGTCAAATATGGGGCGAATTACTAAGCTTATTCTCAAGAAAAATGAATTTTATTATTGATTTATCACCACTTTTATCAAGTAACAGAGTGGTCATTCTTGGTAACATAGTTGTTTTCCATACAAAAAAATTCTGTCCCATATGCAGTGCATCATGCGAAAATCATAATATCTTTTTATCAATTCAATGTAATTGTTATGTTTGAAAGCTAGTGTAATAAAGCAATCATAACACATTTAAAAACATACTTCATCCATATTAAATAAATTAATTGAAGCTTGTACGATTATTTTAAATTTCTACTGTTCTATCCGTACGGTTTGCGGCGGTTGAGGCGCGGGTACACGATTCATTTATCCGATGGCTGCGGTGTGAGGCTCGTGGTTTTATTCTGTGTGTACTCTGTTACCGGTGTTTTCGCGTAAGTATTCAGATATTTGCGTATAGTTTTATATTATTGAAGTAGCTCTAGTGTAAGATATATCAAATGTGCTTTTCTTTGTACATAATAAACTTTCATTTCTAAAAAAAATGTCACTAAAGTTAAATTTACCATTCTGTTACTGCACAACTATGTTACTAGCTACTGGTAACAGAGTTGTAGAGAGGTAAAAGAGTTGTTATTACTAAGCTGTTACAAGCCATCGTTGGCGTCTGTATATCCATATCTCTGCTTCTATGTTAGTAGGAATCAATATTATATAATAGCTATCTAATAAATTACATCATTTGTTCTAGATAATACATAGTACTTTGCTATGGCTCTCACTGCTGCTGAAAAGCAGCGGCGCTATAAAGAAAAGTGCAAATAAAACCCTGAAGAGGTAGCGGAAACTAAGAAGAAGGATTTAGAGAGATATCATAAAAAGAAACGCTTAATAAAAGACATGACTCAACTCAGTATAGAAACTACAGATCTTGTATAGATGGATTGACAGAAGAAAAAATAGCGCTACACGTAGATTTCAGTGAAAATTACAATTGCAAGTTCCATGAAGTGATATAATCACACCACTTTCGTGATACTCGTAACCAGGTATCCTTACATACTGGCGTATTGTATAAGCGAAGCTTGGAAAATCGAAACATAGAGGTGAAGTCTTTTTGTACAGTATCAGGTAACCTCTCACACGGCCCTTCGGCAATCTGGAGTCACCTTCATCCTATACTTTCCTCAATTCAAGACCAATCCCCTAAGATAAAAGTGATACACATATTTTCAGATGACCCGCTACTCAGTACCGCCAGAATCAAAACTTCTGCTTAATATGGACAAAACTTTTTTCAAAGTACAACCTCACCAAGCCTACATGGAATTTTTTCGAGTCGAGACACGGCAAAGGAGCAGCTGTTGGTGTTGGTGGCTTTCTAAAACGGACTGCTGACCAGCTTGTTGCTGTTGGGAAAGACATTCTGATAGCGTCTTCGTTCTATCAGTCTCTGAAAGATAGTAGTAGAGTTAAGGTCAATCTTGAACTGATTATGATATTGAAAGAATCACAAATGAAATTCCAGCAGAAATTGTTCCTTTCAATGGTATAATGAAAGTACATCAAGTGTACTACTAGTGTATTACAGAAGAAGTGGGAGCGCTGAAATATCGAGAGTTGAGCTGTTTCTGCTAGCTTGGTTTCTCCTCATGAATGAATCCAAAAAACTATTGTCTACTAAAGGATACAGTCGAAGAATCAAAGGAGTAATTCTACTAATCTAGCGGATATAAGTAATTTGATTGAACAGAAAAGGAAATCTTTTTACAATGTAATTTACAGTTCGAGTTCGGAATCAGATGATGATAATCCTTTGCTACGATTAAAAGATAAGGCATCAGATCAACCCTGCTTGTCTAAAGAAAAAAATGATGAGAATCACTTGATTCATAAAGAAAATATTCATCCAAGTAAAATCAAAGAAGGAGGCTAGGTCTTAGTTAAAGTTTACAATTCTGAAAGTAAGTGTTTATCTAGGCAAAGCATTAAGCGAAGTAGACGATGATGGTGAAGTAAAAATTGTCTTTTTAAATTCTGTTGACAATACTAGAAAAACATACAAATTAGTTTAAAATGATATATCATATGAACAATATGAGAGTTTCATAAGAGTTGTTTCAGTACCTAAAAAGTAAATAAAGGCAAAAGGGTATATTACCAGTTCCATACTCCACTAGAGATATTTGAAAAATAAGTTATCAGCTTAGGTTTAATTTGATCTCAATAAGATTTTTTAGCTTTTTCCCCTTAAGTTTTATAATCTAATTAAGTTTCTAAACTTCTTAAAACAGTTCATAGCCAAAAATATTGTTTTTTGTGATAGTAGTTCATAAATTTGTTGCGAATAGTACAACTATGTTATTGTTCCTACAACTTTGTTACTTTTGTGTCCCTAAATATATAAGAGTAATGTCTCGAATTTTATGAAAAGCTGACACCTGACTCTATGCATTGTTTATTAATTATATAATATAATAATAATAAAATGAAATATAATCATCATTATATTTTAATAATTTAATTCAATTTACATAGTTTATAGTGAAAATTTGATCATTAAAACAAAGGAAGTAACAGAGTATATTTAACTTCCATTACTGTTCCTACTTAAGAAGAACTATTGTGTAATTTTGCATGTTGAACATGAGAGTAAAGACTTAATTAATGTTCATAACAAAGAATGTTTCTAAAAATAATTGTTTGTTGTTTAAATGTGAATAAATATATGATGGTAACAGAGTTGTAATTTTTTTTACCCTGCACTAGTAAATTCCTTGAAAATCTAAAAATAGTGGCAAGACATCATGCCCAACCACGATATTGCATTTAACAATGATATCTACATAGCATAAATACCTATACAACTAAGTTAAACAGAATTTTATTTTCTTTTGTTTTCGAAATTTACAGTCACATTTTCTGCCACCGATTTTAAATTGACCCAAGGCCTATAAATAATTGTGCCGGGGGTTGTTTGTCCTCATCCAATTTATGTTTGTAAACTGCCTCCACAAAGAGGAGAAAATCCTAGTTTGGATAAGGTTTTTTTTTAAAATAAAAGATAACTTTTTTTTTAAAGTTTATATCTTTTGTTTTTTTATGGTTGAGAAGTAATGGAAAAATAGGTTACGTCGCATACCCTTATAAATCACCACTCAATCTGCTACCACCGTTTGTTAACTAGATAATATTTTCACTGTAGTATGACAAAAGCCACACAAAAGTAAAAAATGTAGATAGTAACAAAAGAAAGATTAACTAACCTTATCACATTCCTCATTTACATACATCACTGCAGATTTGACTAGCCTCTTTCCAAAATTATCAATGAATGATGATTTCTTAAAATGTTTAGTGCACAACATTAAATGCCTAGAATGAAGATTGTTTTGAAATTCTGGTGACCACCAAGATTCATGAGGAAACAGTACTTCGCCCATAATTCCCATCTGAAAAAATACAATTAGATAGTAATATACTACTGAGGTGCTAAAAACGTGCTTGAAAGGAGAGTGCAATACAAGAAGATTGTTCCTTTCAAACAATGTGATTGTATTGTATACATATATAAATATTATTCCACAAGTTATTTCTATGTATACCAATACATCTAGAACTTTTTATTATGTTATGATTTCTATGTGATAAACCTCATGCTGTTCTGCATAATTTCTCTAATTTTCAGATTTATTTGCACACGTTTTTAAATCGCTTAATATGTATCTTAGGTTTTATTAGCTGATGCGGCCCATAATAATTTTTATTTCTGCTACTTTATTAATTCAGTGGTTCAAATTTAAACATTTTAAAACTGTTTTAATCAGTAATCAAAAAGCTATTTAACATACGTACCGTACGCTATTTGTTCTCCCAGGCTTAGGAAAACGATGCAAGGTGATGTTACGATCATGAGCAGGAGAACATCCACACTTGTAACATTTCCTTTCGTTTACTTTCATGATGAAAGATAAAATTGAGTCTCTGTCTCTTTAGCACAATGCACAGCACTTGTTTTTGAGTCTCTTTCTCACTGTAAACACTAAAACGGAGGAACGGGATGTTCAACTCAACGTTAGTAATGTAAGAAATAAGTTTATATCGAAAGATAAACTTAATTTGCAACACAAATAAACAAGAACGAAACGGCAAGCGGCAAGCGCAACGGATCTGCCATTTGTAATTTTGTTTATTTGCCGTTGCCATAACTTGCCTTTTTATTATAGTATGCAGTTTCATATTTATACATTTTGTTACTTCAATAAAGACGTAATAAATATATGTTTAACGAAATATATTATATAATAAAGTATTATAATTATTAAATAAAAAAATGATTAAAATGATGTGTCATTTAAAATAATATTTCTTTCATGGCAATATAACATAACGTGCGAGGGAGATAGATATTATTCCATCTCGCTTCTTTAAAGCCCCCCAAGGTCATCTCCCGGTGCCAATCTGCTATTAGGAAGTTGACCGGCCCTGATTAAAACAGTAAACATATAATAAAACAAAACTGTTTATACTATAGTCGTATTTTTAATTAGACGAAGCCAACTGACAGTAGCTAATGTCACTTTGTAAAATAATGTTGCCATATTTAAAGTAATAGTGATGCGTTCAGTTCTCGTTCAATCAGATGAATGAACAATGAGTGTGTATAGTTAATCATTTCAAACTATAAAAGAATATTATTTCTATTTTACAATAAAATTGTATAAAAGTGCTCTGATATAAGTTACTAGTAGTATGTAACTACAATCAGTTTTTTGAGGTTTTATTACAAAGCGCGGCGCGGCGACTACTGCCAACACCGATCAACGCCGCGCGCGTCGGTCGCCATTTTGTTTGTTATTCGGCTTCTAACCTCTGGTCTGATAGCACGAATGTTTTTTCTGCGCTCACGCTGTTTAGTTATTGTTTTTGTTAAGTTTTTCGTTACGTTGTGTTTGTGGTAATTGTTGTGTTTATTTGTTGCTATATTGTTTCGTACAAATGATATGGATCCTCAACCAAGCACGTCAAGCCAAAGCTTGTCTCCAAGAAAGAAGAGACCACGGATTGCTTTAAGCGTTACCGAAAAACTTATGATACAAAACGTCTACAAACACGTATTTGAGGAAAAAGCTGCTTCACTATTACCTATTGAGGCCCCCGAAAAAAAAGAATGTGTTGCGAAAACAGCTGACATTTTGGGAATTGGTGTGACCTCAGTTTACAGTGTGTTAAAAGAATGCAAAGAAAATGAACAATTTAAGTCTCCCGAGAAACGTGGACCGAAACACAGTTTCAAAGATAAATTAGACGATTTTACTTTTGCCGCTATAAGGCGAAAAGTACATAATTTTTTTTATGCAAATGAGTCACCCACCATTATAAAGGTAACTTAAACTTTATTCCTTCTACTGCATTATATTCTGTGTCCACCATAATGTTCTTTGTAAAACCAAAGTATTAGATTGCGTAGACTTCCTTACTCAAAACATATTTTTATTACTTTACAGATTCTTAAGGTTGTCAATGAAGACCCAGACTTACCCAATTTTTCTTGGAGTACATTAAGAAATGTTATGAAACATTTAAATTTCAAATATGTCACAAAATCAAGACACAGCATTTTAATTGACAGACAGGACATTATTCTATGGCGCCAGCGATACCTTCGAAAAATTAAAGAGTATCGAAGGGAAGAAAGGTATATTTATTACCAAGAAGAAACCTGGATCAACGAAGGTAATTACAATTTTCTGTTTTCTTTACATTAAATTGTACTTTCAATAATTAATTGATATTTTTCACTATCTTGAAGGTCATGCACCGAAGAAGGCATGGATTGACCAGACAGTGTTATCGTCCCGCCAGGCCTTCCTAGATGGCTTGACCACTGGCTTAAAACAGCCTTCAGGAAAGGGCAAACGATTAATTATCGGCCATATAGGCGGGGAAGAAGGATTCGTAGAAGACAGCTTATTAATATTTGAAGCCAAAAAAAATAAAGAAGATTATCATCAAGAGATGAATGCCGATTCCTTTGAGAAGTGGTTTAGGGGGGTCTTGCCAAAACTAAAACCAAATTCCGTAGTAGTGATGGATAATGCCCCCTACCACTCCAGGAAACTAGAATCGCTGCCTAAAATGTCTTGGACTAAACCTAGAATACTAGAGTGGCTAACGAGCAAAAATATTTCATTCGAAGCAACAATGGTTAAAGCTACTCTTATAGACATTGTACGGCAGCACAAGCAAGAACATTGCGATAAGTATGTTGTGGACGAGATGGCAGCGCAGCATGGGATAATTGTTTTACGTCTGCCCCCATACCACTGTGAGCTCAATCCCATTGAGTTGGTATGGGCGCAGGCTAAAGGATATGTTGCAAGAAATAACAAAACCTTCAAAATGACAGAAGTAAAAAAACTTTTTGAAGAAGGACTTCAACATATCACACCTGAAAAATGGAATAGCTGCGTGTCTCATATAATTAAAAAAGAAGACAAAATGTATGGTCTCGACCACATGATTGACAATGTTACTGACAGATTTTTAATTAATGTCACCGAAAGCGATAGTGATGATTTTTTATCTGATAATGAATAAAAACAAATTATGTAATAAGCGATTTTTTTTATTCTCATTACCTACCTATAATTGTTATATTTTATACATCTATAGTTTCAACTACATGATGTATTGAAAATAGGACAGTCTTACAAGTTTCCTCGCAATATTTTCCTTAATGTTTAAAACACTCGGTATTCAGTATAGGTAGATATTATAGGAACATAGTCGTCGAAAACTCGTTGGTATGTACAAAGCACGACTAAAATTCGAACCCCGTACCCGATATCGGCAGTTCAGCACACTAACTATTCACTAGACAATCGAGGCAATTTCATTAATTCAGGAGTTTTTCAATCATTCACTTTGTCACAACACTATTTTTATTTCATCAAAAACTGACAACACAGTAAACGTCAGTTGACTTCGTCTAATTAAAAATACGACTATAGTTTACATACCGTGAGCTATATATGAAACGATTCTTAAGGAGTAAACACCAATAAACTCCAATATGATGACTATAAAATAATTCAATGTCATTGTGTCAAGTTGTTTCATCGATACTGTACTCCTTTTCTAGTAAATGAAATGAATATGGTTTTAGGATTTTACGTACCTACATTTAATGTGTGCCTAAGTGTGACATACATAAACACTCACTACTGTCGCCCAGAGGGGTAGGTAGAGACTAAAGACTTCCATTTGGCACGATCCTGACACATCTCTCTCGCGTCCTTTACATCCATATACCTTCTACGCATACATGCCTGTCGGTTAAGGGTACTCATAATCTGGGCCATCGTTTTTACAATTAGTTAAACATGGTTTTGGCATCACTTAAATTGTACGAAGCGTTCTGTCTATCCAGGAAAGACACACTCCACAGTTTAGGTGTAAAGCTACAAGTACACGGCGGGCTCGTCCATCGTCTTGACGGACCAATTCAGCGGGCTGCCGCTACCTGCTAGGATATTCACTAACTATACTCTGGCTGACGCGCGCCGGCCGAGTCAAACGCATTCGTACTTTATGAAAACATTGTTATCTTAATACTCATAATAACATACAATCGATGACATACTCTAAGTAATGACCATTATGAATTTAATTCACATATAACTTCGTAATTTTTTATCTATTGTATATATAGTATGTACACGATTTCAGAAGGTATGTACTACATACCTACTGATTTTTTTGTTACTGTTAAAAATGGTAGTTTTAAAACAAACTTACAAGAATTAGATAAAATTAAATATGTTTATTTTCTGCGACAGAGGAAATTACAGTACCTAATATTCATTGAATTGAATAAAACTACTTTCACGAATTTTAAATAATATAAAATCCGTAAAAGTAGTCAATGTGTAGTGTTCGTGTAAACATAGGAAATCATATCATTTATAAAACTTACTTTTTTAAATCTCCTACATATAAACATAATTTGTTCAAAAGGTAAAGTAATAGGCACATTACTGGTAATAGAATATTCAGATTAATTATTCAAGACAACCCTTACGTGGTCAGAAAAGATAAAGAGTTACGCGGTAGGAAGTGAGCCAACTTCTAGATGAATATAACGGTAGGTAATCTAAGATATTTATATGTAGGTTATTAGTGCTCCTAGTAAGAGTCGCTATTTATAATAATTTTGCGGAGTGAATTTTCTGTACCTGTACTATTATTACAGAATAAACAATAGCTATTATGTACTCTATGTCTAAAGCCTTAGTTTGGAACAAATGTGGAAACATCTCGATCATCATCGATAATTGATGTTTTTGTTTATATGCCCTGATTTAATCATGCATATAATCAAAGTTCACATCATCAATGGATCGATGTTTTATAGGAGTTTACATTGTATTGAATTTATTTTATTAATTGTAGAGTTAAAATCGCAGTACTATTATTTATTCTGCAGTCAAAATCGAATCGGCTAACCCCCATTTCACGTAGCCTTTTTGCTACTAATCCTAGTATTTTTGTGAAATCGGTGGGGTGGAGGAAAGACCTAATTATGCATAGCCAGTTTAGCGTACTAGCATAATAGAGATCAGTGGTTTTAGGGAACTGAAATTACGTTTTAAAATTTTAATTATGTAACAAGCACTGGCTGAGCTACCTTTTCCTTAAAAAAAAAATAAAAAAATTTTTGGCGCGAATAATCTTTTATAAATTCAATTAAATTGCACAGGTACGTCCGCTTAAAGAAACTTAGTAATTTTTAAGGTCTTCTATATTATCGCATTCGCACTTTTTTGTTTTTTTATAGAAAAATAGTAAAATCAGCACCATGTTCTCACCTGAAGAGCAACAAATTGAGATATGTCTGCTGAAGACTAATTTAGACGAAATAGAAAATGATTTGGTAGTACAGGTAAGTAGGCAAATGCATATCCAGACGTAAGACATTTTGCCGAAGGCATTGATAATAACTGCAGTCGTTGAAAATGACAAAGTACATCATTTCTGCGCATTGATTATGCGTACTTATTTATTTTTACGCAGTAACAATATAACTTAATGTTAGGTACTTCGTAAATGTTTGGAATAGTTCTTCATAAAAGTTTCTTCTGTCAGCGTTAGCATATTAACCGCAGAAACAGCCGTCGCCAAGTGGCTACGACGGCAGCAGTTAACTCTGTCGATGGCAGTCTGTAGGAGTGCCAACGCCGTTTCGATACTGAATAAATACACCATAGAGTACAATGCACATATTATGCTGCATTATAAATTATAAATGCTTTATAAACGTTTTATAAAACATTGATTATTTATTAACTATTTTAGCGTTCGGTGTTACCAGAATTGGATGCAGAAAATGAGGAAAAATATCGAGAGACGATGACTGCTCTCCATGTCGCCCGTGCCCTTAATACGGAATTGGAACATCTTAAGCTAGAAAGTAGTATGTATTGTTTAATATTTCACATTTGACGTTTTTGTTACTTTAATATTTGTGTTTCAGTTTAGAGCTCATAATGCATGTGAGACAATTTGAATCTAACTTTCTTTTAAAAAGTAAAAAACAATATCATTATTAAGTATTTATTTTACGTTGGCCTAAAAGTTTAGTTTAATTTGATGAATGAAATATACTTTGTTACTCCATTTTACCAATTATCAGTGTCCAGTGTTTTCATAATGGTACATGTTACCATTATGAAAACACTGGTACCGTCCTCCAATTCGACGCAAACGAACAAACAAACAAACAAATATTCCCTATTATATATTAGCTATATGTAGGTATATCTCAATATTGATTAACATCCGTATTGTTTATATTACAAATTTATTATTTATTTAAATGTATTTATTACTATTATTTTAACAATTTTGCTTAAATAATGTTTGAATTATTAAGTGGCGAAGCTTGCGAAGTCACTTATTGATTTCACGATGTCTGTCCGTCTGTCCGTCTGTCCCACGATTATCTCGAGAACGGTTTCGAATTTTATTTTGAAACTGATTGCTCAACGGCAACCGTTAGAAACCGCTACAAAGCTGATTGCTTCGCCACTTTGCTATGCTGTTAGCTTGCTAGGTTTATTCAATAAGTGTTTGAATTATTGTATTCCGAGGAGACCCATAATTGTGGCAACATTTAGATATTGTAATGTACACATTTGTTTTAAGCAAGCTTATATAAATCCCAGATAAGTTAATTGAGCTCTGTTGCCCTTATATGACTCCTTTCACTCCAGAGCGTGTAATTATCTAAGTACCTCATTGTTATTGCAGCTTGTCACTACATCTTTAATTTCCATTGGGAGTCCAGACTACTTTGCTCCCAAACAATCGTAAAGTACGACATCTAAGTTAGTTTACTAGTATCACTGCGATCTAAAAGATCTATTATCATCGCTGCTATATGTCTATAGTTCACTGCTAAGCCCTACATCCTCAATGAATAGAAGGAGTTGCTTAGCTGTGAGCAATTTCACTTATTCTGGGCGAAGTACATAGTTTAAAAAATGAGTGCTACTTTTGCGCATTAAGGTTCCGCAATTAGTCAGGATGTGTAAAGGCGTTTCCTCTTCTAGGGATTAAAATCAGCACATCCTTGAGTTGCTTAGTCCCAGGATGAACATGTCTAATCCCAGGGCTTACGAAGCGAATTTACGATCGAAAACCCGGATTAAGGTTTAAGAATGTTATAAGCCTGGTGTATCAGACCAGATCTTAAGTGATAGTAAGTAAAGAGTTTCTACGGTTAATCGGGCGAGGCTTTTTGAGATTCTATAAATTGGCTGGGGTCCAAATTGTCTACTCTGTTGAGCCCTCCCGCGCGAACTTGTCGGCAATTTCATTGCCTACAATATCCTCATGATCCGGAACCCATCTTAAATCGATCCTGTGTTACTTGACTATCAGAGTTAATATAGATTATATGGTTAATGTAGTGTTTTTGCAGATTGATTTCCGCATACTGAAGTATGGCGACAATTTTTGCCTGGATGATAGAGGTGAATCTACCCAAATTCATACTAAGTTCGAATTTGGGGCGTTGCCCATAAATTCCAAAGCCTACGTTGAGGTTCACCCATTTTTGACCTATCGGTATACCATATAAGGCTACCAACCTCACAGATGATCTGTCCATTCAGCCAGTCTTCTCTGGAGGGTAGTTCCACTGTATACTTTTTGTTAAAAGCATATAGTGGACGCATGATATCTGAGATCATGCATAAGACCAGTGTTTCCTTAATTAAGTCGAGAATGGGCCTCAATCTATAGGAAAGCAAGCCCAAACCGCCCCGAGCGTTAATTCTATACAAACTAGCGCTCGCCTCCTTGTCTAAGTGAAGATCAAGGGGCGTTAGGCCTAGAAGTGCATTAAGAGCCGCTCCAGGCGATGATCGCATCGCTCCAGTTGCCATTAAGCAGCCAGTCTTTTGTAGACTATTTAGTCTGTCCGCAGTTCTCTTTTGGTTGCCCTTATTCCACCAGACAGTAGATGCGTAGGTAAGAATCGGCCACACTATACTGTTGTACAGCCATAGGATCATACTGGGACGCAAGGCCCAGTTGTTCCCGACCATG